TTCTAGCATCTACCTGTACCATTCTAGCATCTACCTGTACCATTCTAGCATCTACCTGTACCATTCTAGCATCTACCTGTACATTCTAGCATCTACCTGTACCATTCTAGCATCTACCGGTACTATTCTAGCATCTACCGGTACTATTCTAGCATTTACCGGTACCATTTTAGTATCTACCGGTACCATTCTAGCATCTACCTGTACCATTCTAGCATCTACCGGTATCATTCTAGCATCTACCGGTACCTCCAATGTTATCAGCTTTCAATATAGCCAGGTTTTGATCTGACATTTGTACCATCAATTTATTAGTTACCATATTCCTGTTATCAGAAAAACACATGCTTCCCCAATTATAGATTTGACGTTTGATTGACAAAGTTATGAACACTGTCAATGTTTTGTACTGTGTGTCATCACAGAAATCCTCCCCACATGTGCACATTCCTGTTGTGTGGGACTCACCACTGGTATCCATGCAGTTATGGCAACACCATCTTCTCTATAAAATACTGTATCTGTAATACTTGAGTAGAAATGTACTTTTAATGGGAAATACGATATGGTGCAATCAATTTAAAATAATGAATATTACATCTGGAATCACACTTTGTAATCACTGTAACAAACGAACATAATAAATAAATTCAACTGAAAATAGTTTATGTTGTTTTTTTGTAGTAGACTGCTTTAATTTTGCAGAAGACAAATTGTCATGGGTCGGTAAAAATTATGAAATATTGTATCAGTCTGGTCCTACAACACAAAATCTAATTGAATATGACACTGCTACATTGTGTTTGCAAGTCGTATGTATTGAATTGCATATTAAGCACATGCATGCATGCAGTGCTAGAAATTATTGCTGAAATAATCCAAATGTTCCTTGGATCAGCAGTTTTATAGTGACAACTGAGTCTTCTAATGAATTAAAAAAACAATGACAATCTTTGTAGACGATTCTAGCCCTTCAAAGCAAATTCCATAACTTTGCAAATTTTACAAGGTTACAGATACAACTTCCAAAGCAACTTTCCTGCCTTGCAAAGTAGCTTGTATGACTTTGTAGATTGCCGTAGTATTTTGCATCTCAATACAACTTTACAGATGAGTTTCTCACCTTTGCAACTTTACCAATTTTGCAGTTGACTTTTCTACCTTCCAAAGCAACTTTTCTGACTTTGTAGATTAGTTTTCTGCATTTCGAAGCAACTTTTCTGACTTTGTAGATTAGCTTTCTGCATTTCGAAGCAACTTTGCAGATAAATTGCTTGCCTTGCAAAGCAACTTTCCCAAATTTGCAGATGACTTTCTAGTTATTCAAACCAACTTTAGAGATGACATTCCTTTCTTCCAAAACAACTTTTGAATGCAATGAGAGTCTTTGCAGTCTGTGTGTCTGTTTGATGAAACTTGATGCATAAATGCCTTGAGGTACTGCGCAGATTTCATTGGGTTTTGGTTGAAATTCATGCACAGAATTACATAATGATGCTTTACTTCTTAGCTACTTTTCTTCAAGCAACTTTTTTAACTTTAGGATGTTTTTCAGGGCAACTCTTGTTACTTTGCTGTTGGATTATGTCGCATTCCAACGTAATTTATGTGCAGGTAGTTTTTCTGCATTCCAAAGTCATTTTCTCAACTTTGTAGATGAGTTCAGATGTAGATAATTTTTCAATTTTGGAGATGACTTTCTAGCCTTTCAAAATCTTTCATAACGAGCTACCAGTCCTCCAATACCATTTCCCCAGACTTCAGACTTCGGACTTTCAAACGAAATTACTAAAATCAGAGGTACATTACTTGGGGTTTGCAACTACGCTGACATGATACCAAGATCCCGTTTCAATCTCGCTCTCGCATAAGCGTTCCAACTCAGAAAAATGCTAATGCGCATGCCCAAGGTAACTAGGTTACCAGGTGGATCAAAATAGCTGCTCATGATATGACGGATTACGATAACTATATTTTCTTTACATTTTCAATGTATTATATTTATTCACTATGAATGTAGTAATACATGTTTTATTACAAACCGCCTATATCATGTCAGAAGGTCGTAGCATCAGTCTCGCTATCTACGAGATGAGCCTTGAATGGGATCTTGACATGATGTTACCGTACAGTACTATGCGAGTTGAAAACCCCAAGTAATGTACCTCTGCTACAATCTATAAGCAACTTTCCTTACTTTGTAGAATACTATAGCAGTTTGCAAAGCAATTTTGCAAACGATTTTTTTTCCAAAGCATCTATATTATCTTTAAAAACGAATATAAGACCTTCTGATGAAACCTTGCAGATGTTTTCCCACTTTTGAAACTTCTCAATTGTGTATGTAACTTGCAAACGACTGTCCTGTCTTTTAAAACAACTTTGCAGATGACTTTCCCGCCTTTCAATGCTTGTTCGATTTTATTGTGTGATTTTCTAATTCGACCGAATTTGAGGAATT